CCTGGAAAATTCGAGAGACTGATCATATTCTTCTATTCTCAACCCATTCTACATGTACTAATATATAATCTTCTACTGCTTCTTTGGCGACTATTATACATTTGTCTATTTTGTTTTTTATTTTTCTATATTAGAAAGTCTTGTTGAGAGATTTTGTGAAGTCTTTAATCATGGATAATTTGAAATAAATATGCTATGTGATAGATGGTTTTGTGCATTATAGAAAAATTCGTTTTTATTGTTATTTTTTATGATTCGATTAATTTAAAATGACTTTTAATTTAACAAAAACAATATCTGTTTAAATTAATAACTTGTACTGCCAAGTTAGATTTAAATTTCTTTTTGCATAAACTAATAATAAAAAGAGAATTACTACATTAAAAAATATTTTTTAAGAGATACATTTATTTTAAGAAGAAAAATGTAAAACCTACTTTATTTTATGAAGACACAAATCTAAAACCTACTACATAAATCTACAAATTGTTCTGATAGATAAGTATAAAATAATTGTAATTATTGTAATATATTGTGCGGTTTGGTGCACAAATGCAAAAAGGTCATTTTTACTTAAACGTTAATAACTCGGTGAAAAAAAATCGAACAGAGCTCAACAAAATAACAAATTGAAGGTAAAGATTCACTCTTTCGAAAGCTATAAACTGCATTTGTGCACAATTTTTACTTGGCTCCGTGGAACTTGGCAAATATAGTAAAAAACTTTTAGGTTTGACACACTTTTATTTATGATTGTGCAACTTCACGAAATATCAATAGGACCGTTTTTTTAAGTACAGGTCTGAAAAGTGAGATTTCAAGCTTTATATTCTTTTTTAAACATCTCGATACGATGAGTTTTGACGAAGTTATTCTATCTCAAAGTTTGCCTATTTGTGCAGGATGGAACAAGTGATCCTTTAAATTTTGTTGAGAAGTGTGTATATATACATATAACTGGCGTAATGAAGAATACACTTGGTCAATTATATTTATCTCATATCTGTTTTTGATCAAGAAGTTCAGTATCTTTTATATGCACTTGGCGTATGTTTTTTTCTTTTTTTAAAAAAAGATTTTTTATGGGATATTATTATATATATAATATATATTTAATATCATTTTTGAAGTCTTAGAAACAACTGAAATCTTTTCGGTAATATTTCAAAAAGATTGCAGATTCTTTCTGTAACGCTTAGCAACGTTTCAACAAAGTTCCATATGCAAGAATTATTAACTTTTTACTATTCCAGAACTGCCTCAGAATTATTGCAGACATATTTCGCAACTTTTATGAAATGTTAATGAAAATATAATATATTCAGTCTACGTTGCTTGTACTTTGTGTGTGTGTGTGTGTGTGTGTGTGTGTGTGTGTGTGTGTGTGTGTGTGTGTGTGTGTGTGTGTGCGCGCACTCAGCACACATCATCGCTTTCTTTTTTAAAACATTAAATATACATGTATTTCATTTTAAGTACATTTGGAGATTTCACGACGCACAATTTAGAAAAAAATTTTTTTTGTTATATATATATATATGTATATATACTTTCTGTTATTTTCGAAATCTCTCAAAAATTTTACTTTTTTTTCATAACAGGATAGTTCAAGAAAGATGATATAGAAGATTATTTCATTGAAAAGTCATCGTGCGCCGTAAAAAGTAGGTTCATTATTTATGTAAATTGGTTTAATATAATGCATTGAAATAAATAATATTGTGAAGCGTATTAAATAATTTATAATTAATTAAAATGGATATATGTGTTGTGCAACATTTATAAAATTATATATTAAAATAAGGTATTTATTTTAAAGTATATTTATTTATTTTTGAGAAATTTTTAATATATAATTTATGCATTACGTTTCAGGACGAGTATATCAATGTAAAAATATGCATGTCTCTATTTTATCCATCGAACTAACAGCTCTTATACATTTTTTCAAGAAACATTTTGAATAATTTTCTGTAAAAGAGAGAAAATACTCGTAATTTTAGGCTCATATCTTGCAAAAATAGAAAAAATTAAATAATTATTTTATTTGAAGAACATTTCAATATTTATTTAACAATTTTTTTCTATAAAAATTCAATGACTTTCTATTAAAAATATACGCACTAATATTGTAACATGTAACATATATAAAGGTTTTACGATTCAATCAACATTATATGTATAATAAGAGAAAATGTTATTATTTATCGTAACAAAATATTATCGCGGAGGATACACAACAATATATAACTCAC